TATTGTTACTGCCAAAGTAGTTTCTCATATTACAAGATATAGGCAAGAAATAATAAATAAACAACATAGGTACAAACCTCTGTGTTTTTTTTTAAGTCAACAGAAAATGAAAATAAGCTTTTTAAAGTTTCTAATACTAGGAGAAGATATCGTACCATGTCTTTTAAATAAATTGTAAGTCAAAGATACAGTATAAATCTTAGAACAAAAATTAAGATTAAACAATATTCAGAAAATTAAATGTTTCAAAACAAATGAACTCAGAAAAAGTTTTCATGATAGCAAAGAAGTACTAAGAGTAAGACATAAGATAAATACTGGAATGGCAAGTAAATGACCAGCACTTCTGACAGTTTGAGGATAGGATATCGCACAAAGTTCTATTGTGTTATGGACATACCTTGGTCTATTCTTGCCAGCATTCATAAGGTAAGTGGCTTGCTCAGCTTGGTGAAAATAGTACAATTTGTAGGATTTCCTGATACTATTTACCTAAAGTTCTTAGAGTGGACCTATCCATAAATAAAACTCTAAGCTACTCTCACTGCTCAGACTATGTGTAGCATCACAAAACTGTATGCAATAAATAAATGAGCGCTTGTACACTTGTTTATTTATTTTCACTTGTTTATTTAACGTGGTTCAATATGTGACACTTTATGCACAATTTTTAAAAATAAAATACTTTCTTAATATTAACCTTTTTACCAGGAACTTATTTACACATGTAAGTTTACCTTTAAAAAAATAGCTATTAGCTGACAATGCCCATTGACGTACTGATTAGAGTAATATTCCTATCATGATAACCATTAATAGTTTTAATCAGATTATGCTATCATCTGAAAGTATTAATGAGCAGAATGATGCATCGAGAGAGTACACCTGTGCTTCTGCCTGACAGTAAAGTGTGACAGTAAAGAGGACAAAGAAGATGACATTAAATTGTATTTGACCGGAACTCATAAAGACAACTAGGAAATCTGAGTGGCTAGAGATGGTTGTTGTATTAAGGACTCCAATAAATCTTCACACAGAATAGGAAAACATTTCTGCAAGGTGCCCAAGTCTACCGAGAGTCCCAGATATCTTTCTGCTCATCTGAGAACCCCCAAGGTAGGATCTTGGCTCTTCAAGCTGTTGTTTGGAAGGAAAGGTTTTATGAATTCATCATTTCCACGGAACACCTTCCTAATTGTCAAGAGGGCTTTACACAGTGCATGAGAAACTAGGTCTCACTTGTACCAGCCGACTGATGTCAGTGCCCTGCTTCTGTAGGGAAATAAGAACAGCACCACTGTCAACTGTTCTAGCCTGCCAAGAAACGAGTCCTTTCTGTCCCTGAGGAGACTTTAGACATAGTGAGACTTGAGATGTTAGCACAAAAGACAGCCAATGTGCTCATAACTAAAAGGATATGCCCGTAAAACGGCGTTCCCTTTTAATTTGCTAACTTGAAGACGATTCTTAAGTGAATTGAAATTGGAGACCTAATACTCTAGATGACTTGTGGTCACTATTTTCATTACATCTTGGAAATTGATACAATAAAGTGGATGCAAATAACCAAAATTACCCATACTGCAAATGAAATAACTATTAATATTTTAATGTATCACCAAGCTTTGGATATATATATATTTTTTAAATGGAACATTTTCTACAGGAGCTTACTAATTGGGTTTTTAATGAGCGATATGTTATAAATATATATTATTAAGTCTTTCTTGATAGTCTTGTGGTTATTTCTTAAATACTTCATGATTTAGTTAATCAATGAGCTATTATAGGGAATTAGGTAATCTCTAATATCATATTTTCATAGATAACACTGTAAGGGATACCACTGTGCCTTGAGAGAAATATAATTGATTTTACTGGGTAGAATTTTTTCCTGCAATTGCCTAAATTAATTAGGTCTAAATGATTTTCAGCTGATTCACTAAATTGCTTTGTACAGGATCATGTCACTTGACAAGTTAGTTTTACTCCTTTCTTTTTATCCTGGATGCTATTTACTTCTTTCTCTTGCTTCATTGCCCTTACTTTAGCTTCTAGGGCTCAAAAGAAGCAGCAAGTGGGAACATCTTTGATCTTTTTCCTTTCGTCTTATGAAGAAGCATCCAGCGTGGAACAATTAATTGTAATTTTTTGTGTGATTTTGCCATGTGTCCTTTATCAGGTGGACAAAGATGCTTCTATTTTGTTGAGAGATATGAAAAGGTATTGGAGTTATCAAATGCTTTAGTTATGTGAGATGAGCAGTAGTAATTTCTTTCCTTTATTTAATTAACATTATGTACTGCAGATCTTTTGACTTTTTTTGGGGGGGGGCCTGAACCAGGGATTGAACTCAGGACCTTACACTTGCCAGGGAAGACCTTATTCTACTGAGCCATCTCCCCAGCCCCATTCGACTGTTAAAACAGTTCTGTATCACTAGAATAATTTTCATTTAGTTATTTCATTTTTCATATTTGCTGAATTGATTTGATTTCTAGTACTGAGGATTGTTACATCTATATACATAAGAATGTTGGTCTATATTTTTCATTTCCTATAATGTTTTCTATATCAGTGCTGTTGACCTTGAAGAATGGGTTTCAAAATACTTACGTTTGTTTCCTGTGTTCTGAAAGATTTTTATTCAGATGTAATAGTATTTCTTTTTAAAATTTAACGTATGTAACTACTGTAGCAATATGACCCATGACTTTACTTGGTGTGATTTTAAATTACTAACTTACTCAGTATAATTTTTTTTAGTAGATTGGTAGATGGTTTCTCTAAGAATTTGTCCTTTTCTCTCTGTTTCTCATTTTTGATGGACAGTAGATTACATTATTCTCTGAAGATCTCTTTCATAAAGATTATCATAATGTTCCTTTATGTCTCTGATTTTAGTGGTTGGAGTCCTTTTTCTTTTTAGGTGCCAGCTAGGTCAACCAAGCTTTGTCAATTTTGTGGATCTTTAAAAATAACTTTTATTTTCATGGATTCTGTTGTTTTTCTATTTCCAATTTCACTTATATCTATTCTAACATATATTATTTCATTTCTTCTGCTTGCTTTAGGTTTAATTTATTTGAAAATGCATGACCTAAAGTGCAATACTAAGAAGCTGATACAAGTAACAGGAGAAAAAGAGCGTCCCACTTTCTCTCTCTAGTAAGAGTGATTTTCAACATTGGAACTTAATCCAAAAACTAGATTTATACTCCACTAACAGTTTTCAACAGGCAGGGGTAACTCATAATAGTAAAGTATAAGTTACATTTTACTAGAGTGTAAATGTAACGTAATTCATAATTATAAATCTTTTAAATGCAAATTATAAAGTAGTATAAATTACACTATTTTCATGGCTATTTTGATCTATTTTCAGACTTTGTAAGTCCACCTAGACCAAACAAAGCAGAAGAAAAGAAGTAATGTAGATTAGAATGAATATAAGTGAAATTCACATAGAAATAATGTAAAATTGAGGAAAAAGGTTCAAATTCTATTTGAACAGTTACCATTTATACAGCAAACTTCCAACTGGGCAAGTTTTCTGTGTTTTTGCTTCTTCTATTGTCCATGTACTAAGCTTCACTGAGCCAACAGTCTACCCAGCCGTCCCTCCTGCATTTCTCTTGTGCAAAGCCCTGTGGAAGGCACCCTGCACCTGAGTATTCCGCAGGCTATAGATGACGGGACTTAGCACTGGATTAAAGAGACTGTGAAACAGTGACAGCATCTTCTCCTGCTCTTCCCGCTGACTGGAGTCTGGAACCATGTAAACCAGCATGGCTATACCAAAGAAGAGCCCGACCACACCAAGATGGGAGGAGCAGGTGGAGAAGGCTTTTACTCGGCCCCCCTCTGATTGGATCTTCAGGATGGCCCAGAGGATTTTCATGTAGGAGATAAGAATTAAGGAGATAGGCCCAACTAACACAAAAACACAGGCACCCAGGAGGACCAGTTGGTTGAGCCCAGTGTCAGCACAGGCCAGTTTGAGGACAGACAGGATTTCACAGAAGAGGTGGTTCACTTCCTGGGGCCCACAGAAGGGCAGCCTCAGCAGAAGAACTGCATGTACTACAGAGAGGAGGAATCCTGATGACCAGGAAGTGACAGCAAGGGCCATGCACACTCTCCAGCTCATGATGACAGTGTAATGGAGGGGGTGGCAGATGGCCACATACCGGTCATAAGACATTGCCCCCAAAATGAGACACTCCGTAGCAGCAAAGCCCAAGTACAGGAATGTCTGTGTTATGCATGGGCCAAAAGAAATGGTTTTCTTGTGGCTTATGAGGTTTATCAGCATCTTAGGGACATTGTTGGATGCATACGATATGTCAAGGACAGCCAGGTGGGAGAGGAAGAAGTACATGGGAGTATGCAATCTAGGGTCTAAGCAGATGAGCCCCAAGATTATACCATTGGCCAGGAGGCTGAAGATATATAACAGGAAGAAGATCCAGAAGAGAAACACTTCCATCTCTGCACTGAGCCGAAAGCCCACCAAGAAGAATTCGTTGACCCAGGACTGGTTGCCACCCATGTGCTAATGATGCTCTGTCAAACAGTGAAGCATGACAAAAATGTTAGAGCTGCAGAATTAATAAAAATTAAATTTATTTATCTCAAAATAAGCTCAGAGAAATGTTGTGTGGTTAATCTTATTTTGTATCCCCCCGTCTGTTTTTGAAGAATTTACTATGAAATATATTTAAACATGTAGAGAATGTCAAAAATTAGGCAGACTCCCCTGTGCCTTCATCCAGATCCAGCAAATGTTGGTATTTCATTTTTTTCTTACACCATTTCTCTCCATGTTCGTAATGTTTTTAGCTATTTGAAATTCAAGTGTGGAGATGATGCCTGTTTAGCCCTAAATTTCTCATTGTTTTCACCAAGAAAAAGGATATTCCCTAATTCAGCCACAATATAATTATAAAAAGCCAGGAAACTTCCTATTGACATGCTTCTTTTCTCTCATATCTAGTGTTATTTTTCCTCCACCATTATTTATCCAGGCCTAATCTAAGACTAGGTATTATAGTATTATTTCTCTTCAGTCTCATTGTACCTAGATTGTTTACTCAGCCTCTTTGTGCATTTTCAGGCATTGATGTTTTAAAAGTAGAATTTGGTAAAAACAAACAAACAAAAAACACCTCTTATTTTGATTGAAATTATTTACTTTCTGCAGAAAAAAAAATTGTCTTCATTGTATTATGAGTGGGTGGATCCTGGTAATCTGTCCGTTATTGGACAAGCTATCTTGGATCATCTGGTGGAAATGCTGCTTCCAAGGTTGCTTGAAAATTATTATTAATTTATGGAGAATCTGTTAGAATTATTATATAAATGTTTTGTTCCTCATAAAAGAGCTAGTCACTAGTTTCTTTTATTCTCTACTCCTAACATCTATTAATTATTTTTATTATTTTTATCTTTTTAATTTTTAAAGAGAATGAAAATAGTAAAAATATCATTAGAAACAATACAGAATTTTGCTAAGTAAGACAACAGGAATGCAACAATGGTTGTTATATTGCATAATGTCTTCAAATTAGTTTGTTAGATTATCAGATATAAACATGCAAAATTGGTTTAAGAAATGTTATAAGAAATTAAAAAGGAGAAGCAAATTAAGCATTAGCTACTCTTTTCAATAGACCAGCAGAAATCAGCAGTACAATTATTCAAGCTATCTTCTATGCATACATTAACATTTCTTTCTTTGTTTCTTTCTTCTTTCTTTTGTCCTTTTCCTCATTTCAGTTTTCCTTCCCTCTGAACATATTTTTTTCGCGTATATATTTTACCTTTCATGTACTCTTTATGTACTCTTTTAGGTTCTTATACTAGCGAGATAACATGATATTTATACATGCAGGTTTGATTTATTTCACCATATTTATAGCAGCATAGTTTGTGATAGTTAAATCTTGGAAAAAACCCAAATTCACATCAACTGAGACATGGAAACAGAAGATATATTTTTATACAATAGAGTATTACTTAGCTACAAAAAAAAGATAAAATCAAGGCTTTTATTTATTATTATTATTATTATTATTATTATTATTATTATTTTTTGGTGGAACCGGGGATTGAACTCAGACCCTTGCACTTGCCAGGGAAGCGCTTATTCTATTGAGCCATCTCCTCAACCCCCTCAAAGCTTTTATAGGTAAATGGATCTGTTGATTATTTTACCTGATTCAGTTATTAGTAACACTGATTGAAAATGTATAGTCTTATCTTTATCACTGATTCTATGATTGTTAATTGATTTTTAGGTAAGAATTTGTGTGACTGGGTATGTATTGGTTGTTTTTGGGCTCATAGATTTTTAATCTATCTTTTTCTTTTTTTGTGTGCTTCAGTTCTCTACTTTCAGATCCCTCAAGATCTCTTAGTTCCTCTGTCCCTTTACCTTTTCTCTACTGCTTTGGGCACTTTTTCACTTCCGGGACAATTAGAAGTTTCAGGTTAACCTGCAACAGTCCACAGTCCAGCCACAAAAGAGAATTTTTTTTTCATGAAGATCTAGTTATTTTTAATAAAGAATAGTACTTATACACTAACATCTGCAGTTTATTGATCTTTTGACAATTTGTTTTTATTATGGTAAGTTAAATTTTATAACATTTTTATTGTGATTTATATTATGAAGGTATGCATTTCTGCTATTCTCATTTAAAAAGATACACATATAATTTGGAGTAGTACACAAATAGTTGTAGAGAATAATGCATTCTCAAGAGTACTTTAAAAACATACTATGTAACTGGCCAAGCATGGCGGTGCACGCTTACAACCCCAGCACTGGAGAGGCCAAGGCAGGAGGATTGCTGCAAGTTCAAGACCAGTCTGGGCTACAAAGTGAGTTCAGTGACAGCCTCAGCTGCACAGTGAGACCCTGTCTCAAAAAGATGAAAAAAGATGGTATATGGTTTGTCTTATTTCCTTTAGAGAGTGAAGTCTGTTACTAAGATAACATCAGCCCTGAAGAGCATGTACTTGATGGTATTTACTATTTTCTTAATAGTGAAAATGCGGCACCTTATTAGTTTTTGGTTTCATGTTATTATCTAATTTTTAATCTTATTAAAAATTATAGACTCTTGAACATTTTAGATTAATATCCTAAATGTACCCCATTCAGTGAACAAGACGGTACCTGACTCGTTTCAGATTTTTCACACAATATTTTAAAGTTTTATAGAAAACCATTATGAAACTCTAGTTGAAAAGCTAGAGAAATAATACCTGGAAGCATACTGCTAAAGGCGATCACTGTTAAGTTATATTTTCTTCCTATACATTGTTTTTCATATATTTATAAAAATTTAAAATTTTACCAATTTCACTATATCTCTTATTTAGAAATACATCAAGAACTGTTTTACATGTTAAAATACTTATTTGTTACAAACATTGAAACATTACAATCTCTTAAATACAAAAATTTATTTTTTATATTATCGCATTGTTAGATTGTGTACAATTTAATACTGCAAATAATTAAGGTGTTACATACACGTAAAGTTATTAGTTACTTATTTGTGAAATCTTATGCTAAATTCTGAGGCTTGGGAATGCTCAATTGGGCCAGCTCATCTATGTATCTGTGTACAGGCAGCCATCTTTATATCTTTATCTAATCCAGTCTAGAATAAAACAAGCCAAAAAATGCAGGTTTTTCTTTTTATGTAGTTAGAGTAGGGTCTATAGGGTCTTACTACCTAGATTGGACTCCTAGTGATTCTCCTGTTTTCAGCCTCCCAAACGCTGGGATTACAGATGCGCGCCACCACCCCCAGTCTCGATCACCGTCTCAGTGCGCGCCGGGGGCCAGGGCCCGCACAGCACGCCGGGCAGCTGCACTCTGCCTAAGCAGGCACTTCAATCCACCGAGTTATTCGGCCAGCCCAAAATGCAGATATGTTAAGGATCTATCCTTGGGAAAGGGGCTCAGCCTAGCTGTCCTGAGTCTGACCCCAAATTCACTTTACCTTTGCTGTTACCCCACATCCAAAACTGTTCCTTTCATGCTGGCCGCTGATGGGCACTGACCCCTTCTGTCACTAAAATCAACTTCCTTTGCCTTTTTTTTTTTTTTTTTACCACCACATGATATCAAATATGAAGGAAGAGAGATTAAGTAGAAATTAATATTCCACAAAGCCCAAGTACACCGGGCTTGAAAGTGTCCAGTTACCAGGTTACCAGGATGAACTTCTCCAATTCACCTGGAATCCTGAACAACCTATCCTCTCAGTCAAAGGAACTGATGCAATTTTACCAACAATCTCTCTTTTTTTTTATTTCCTGCACTCCACATGGATCTGGTGAGCCAGACATTCCAATAGTACTCTTAGATTCATGTCCTGAGTGTTTGCCTACTAACATTATTCAAAGTAAGAAGTACAGACTTCTGATGGAGCTAATCTAATGTTTTCTTCTTAATTCCAATTTCTGACTTGAGAGGAACTTCTGTTCCATGGATGGATGATATCAGTCATGATTTGAGTCTTTCTGTGTATTAAACAGGAGGGTATGTGTCTACCTGTATGGGAATTACAAGCTAAACAATATTTTAAAACAATTACTATCATGGTACTTAAAATACTGAAGACATACAATTCATTTTATCACACATGGCTTTCAGCAAAGTTTCTAAGAACAGACAATATATTTAATTATTTATTTAATCTTTCATGTATTTATTTATTTGGTACAGGGTCTCACTACACAGCTGGGACTCCTAGTGATCCTCCTGCCTCAGCCTTCCCAGAGCGACATTACATGTGTGCACCACCACTCCTGGTTTCAGAGTAGGCACAGTGCACCCAGGGCTTGGGATTGGCATGGCATGCAGTACCGAGGATTGAACTTGTGTACTTGCACTTGCCAGGCAGGTACTTAGACCTCTGAGTTATCTCCCCAGCTCCACTATATTTATAGATAATTAATTTTCTTAAAATGATAGATCTTGGGCCGGTGAGATAGCTCAGCAGAGTAAATGCCTGCTTAGGCAAATGCAGGGACAAAGGTTTGATCCCTGGCACCACAAGCCACGCCAGCACTGCCCCCTCGGCATGCTGAGCCAGCCACCAAATCCAGATATGGTGGTGCATACCTGTAATCCCAGTGCTGGGGAGGCTGGAAACAGGAGAATCAGTATGAATCCAAGCTGCATAGTGAGACTCTGTAAAATAAATAAATAAATAAAGATGGAACTTGTTTTAATTTTTTAAATTTTTATTTATTTAGTTTTTTTGCGGAACCGGGGATTGAACTCAGATCCTTGTGTTTGCCAGTCAAGCACTTATCCTACTGAACCATCTCCCCGGCCCCTGGAACTTGTTTTAATTGATACATATTATTGACTTAATTTTTCATCCATGTGAAACAAGATAGAGCTAATAGTTTTTTTAAACTAAAGGTTTTGAATACTCCTTTGGTGTCTATGAGGAATAGGTCAATGCGCATTTGCAGACAGGCTTGTGCTAAGTTGGAAAATCCATGCCTTTTAGCCTTATTTTA